GTCGTTCCTCCAGCAACCACCAGGACCGCAACAACCACGCAGACCCGACCACGGTCTCCAAAGGCCCCAGCACCAACGCCAACGCAGCTGGAACCAAGACCAAGCAAGGCGGAAACAGTAAACAGAAGAAGCACCATACAGCCATGGCGACAGTTAGGGGGGCCCACGGACCACCGACAGAGCAAGATGAACAGTGAGTAAAAGGAAAAAAAAAGGGGGGGGGGCATACACGGGCTTAACATCTACACGAGCAGAATTTTAGGCGGGGGACGGATAACCAAGGAGACTGAGGGACAAAAACACCACTCTCACAGCATCACATGGGGGCCCACACCATCAGGGGGGGAACAGGACTATTGGGGAGGGGAATAGGAAAACGTGCCAACACCGACACCTGAGAGGGCTGACAAGAAAGCAGGCGAACCCACCCGCAACTATCCAGTGCATGCTAAGGTGGCAAGAAAATTAGAACCACAGCCACACCACATGTGGAGAGGTCAGGAAGGGAAGGGAGAGAATGGGAGGGAGGGAGACAAGGAGGGGAGGGGGGGATGAAGGAGTAGGTGGGAGGAGGGATAGAAGGGGGAGAGAGCAGGGTGAAAAAGAGGGGGGGGGGAAAACAAAGGGGAAAAAAAAGGAAACCATATATCAACGCCATGATACAGGATCAGAGGGGCCAGACACCAATATGAAACGGCCTAAGACTAATACATACGTCTAACCATCCCAAATTAGGATGCATAAAGGCAACACAAAATAGTAACGTAGGGAATAGATAGAAGGCCAAAAGCAAAATAAACATCCGCAGAGAACTTGAAAGCCTACAAAACAGAAATGACCACAGGGGGATTTAGTTGTCTTTAATGCTGTAAATGTTACAAATGTTATTGCATATATAACGCTCTCCACACACGCACACCACGCCCGAACCCACCCATCAGACAAGCCCCTAGCAATTAATCTGACAGCATACATAACCTAAAGATGAGGAACACCAGGGTGGAACGACTCTATGGAACACCACAGAGTGATGTGACGGAGAACGCTACGATACCATACCCCAACTCTCACCAGCAATACACCAGAACGTGAGACTCAAAACAGGCCACGAAACAGCACCCCCAAACATGACCCACGACAAGGCCCACCCCAAGACCTCACTAGACCGCCCTGACCCAGCAAAGCTTAGCCCCACAAAACCACTATGATGTAAAATCACAACAATAAACACACAAGGCCCGCAAAAGGGGGTCCCCACAACTCAATCACGCCCGTAGACTAGCTGGCGACATGACCAACTAAACTGACTGCCCTAAGCCGGCAGAGGGACAGCAATAGCACACTTAACGTACCACTGATGACCCACGCACGAACTACAGCAAGAGACAGAGAGGACGCTCCAATCACACAGCCACTAAGCGGATGGGAGACCACATACCTACCACAAACTACAAAACCCACATAAACTCGGCAGACGCCACTGGATGGCCCGAGCCATCCCAGACATGTAGCCAGACACCCCCACAGGCAGAGGACACAAGACCCCCTTCCAGAAGAGGACACACAAATCCCGGAGTCGACCCAGACCTACCGACTGATCGGTCGAACAGTCGCACCCCGGGACACTTGTCCATTAACCTGTACACACTACGTAGCGCCAAAGACAAAACAAGTCCACTCAGACCCATTACAGAACCCAGACGTGACCACAACGCCATCACACTACATCAACAAACACCCCCCCGCACCATCCTTCCCCCTCCCCCCACCCCCACCTTACCAAGTCATCTTCCTTGGCCGCCCGGATGATGTCAACCCAGGGGGCTGAACGGATTCGCTCGGGAGGAACTAAGTATAGTCTCCTACAACGTGCACGGCTTGAACATCAGGGAGAAACGAACAAGGCTTCTGTGAGACCTGAAACATTACAAGGCATCGATAGCATTTCTCCAGGAAACACACTTCCAAGAAGGCAGAGCACTGGCCCTTCAGCAACAACCCCGATAGACGCATACACGGAGTGTGCATTCTCTTCTCAAGGCACGTCCCCTATCCGGAGAAAGCCACCATCAGATGCAAACAAGGAAGGTATATCTTCACAAAAGGCACTATCCTGGACCAAACATACACGTTCGCCAACATGTATGCCCCTAACACGAAACAACAACACTAAGACATGTGCTCAGCACCCTGATGAAATTCACAGAAAGCACTCTGATCATCGGAGGAGACCTGAACCTGACACTACATCCAGACCAAGACTCCTCATCCACACACGGCACAACTCCACGCAACAGATACGCAAACACACTCCGCCTCGTTCATCACCACCAACTAGCGGACTGCTGGGGGGCATTACACCCATCGACCCGCGATTACACCTTCTATTCAACGACTCATTCAATATACACAAGATTGGACTACTTCCTCATACCACACCAAAACCTGACCCTGCTCACCACCGCAGAGATCCTACCAATGACTTGGTTGGACCACTGCCCGATCCGCATACGGCTGAAATCACCGCTGTTTAGACCCAGACAGATGTCATGGAGACTGAATAAATCGATCCTCTCTGACGTAACAGTGGTAGACAAGATCAGCCACTCCATCCAAGAATACTTTGAGGAAAACGAGACGGATGACGTGACGCCACTGACATGCTGGGAGGCACACAAGGCGGTGATACGCGGCCAAATCATCGCGATGTGTGCAACCCGCAAGAAGATGGCGGTGCAAGAGGTTCTTGACCTCAGCCAGGAGATAGCACTACTAGAGGCCAGGCACAAACGCACCCTAGATCCAACGCTCCTACCAGCACTATAAACACAAGTGCGGGAGGTTGTTAGCAAATCTACTAAAACAACGCAAAACTCAACTCTACATCTCAAAAATCAAAGACACACAACAGTGACTCAGACACATGCCAGACCAGATTTCCACAGCGTTCAAGCCTACTACCAAGACTTATACCACCTCCGCCGAGAGGCCCCAGAAGCACCACGACCCAGTAAAAAAAAAAAAAAAATGACATCTGGAGATACCTAGATGCGGCAAATGTGCCAGAAATAGAAGAGCCCAACCGAGAAACACTGGAGGCACCCATAACACCGGAGGAACTGGCACACGCTATCAAAAGAGCGAAAACAGGCAGAGCACCGGGACCGGACCGCCTCCCCCTCCAGTACTACAAGACCTCTGCACAGGACACAATACCAAAACTCCTCATAGCCCTCAACTCCATCCACTAAGGAGCCATACCAATCACCCAATTCACTTCGGCAAACATTACCCTTCTTCCGAAGGAGGGAAAAGACCTGACACTATGCCCTAGCTACCGCTCGATCTCCGTGTTAAATACGGACCTCAAACTCCTGGCGAGTGTCCTCGCGACCCGACTGGCGCCGCTATTGCCTGCAACTATCCACCAAGACCAAACGGGGTTCATCCCTGGCAGGGAGGTGAGGGACAACACCATTAGAACCCTGAACATTATAGCACATGCCAGAACACAAAAGATCCAAGTGCTACTCCTGTCAACAGACGCAGAAAAAGTGTTCGACAGGGTAGACTGGGACCTGATGTTCGAAACGCTCCGACACCTCGGCATTGGGGCAAAATACCTCACCTGAGTGGCGGCACTATACACATGCCCAACGGCACGAATCAGGATCAACGGCGCACTATCGGACCCGTTCCAGATATACAATGGAACCAGACAGGGCTGCCCGTGCAACGGGTCACCTGGCACACCGACTGGGTACCTCAGTTGAAAGATGCTCCTAGCACTTCCTGAGGACTCCAAGCACTGCAGCAGAAAACACAACCACCGAACCATAGAAGCCATACGAATGCTCTCAAGCATATGAATGCTGTAAGCAGCTGAACAGGAAAAGCATACAATCAGCTTACACTCCTGGCAATCAGCATACAATCCAATTCCCCCAATAACGAGACAACACTTCGTTTTGAGGTCAAGCAGAACTGCCTGTACTGGCACATACAGTCTTTTATTCACAATCCACAAACATAGTACTGACCACAGGGTTGTGAAATACAACCAATCAATCCGTACAATACTCACAGACACTCCCACACAAAATCCTCCCCTCTGCCTGTGATATGATTACTGAAGAAAATGGTTAATGTAATTATCACAGGCAGAAAAATACAGTATTATAAAACATATCACAGGGACCCCAAAACATGCAATAACCCCATAAAAGTATATCCAGAACCGGGAGATCTGGGTGAACCACATATCCAAAATTCACCCAGATCTGTTCAATAGTTTGGAAGATACAGTTTAATGCAGATTCTGTAGAACATATACAGGCTATATGAAAAATAATTACTGTATAATGTGTCCCCTGTTGTATCGTTTAAAATTACTGCACGATGTCTTTGTGCACCAAATACCGGCAAGATGGCACCGTGTAGAAAAGTCCAAACAGTGCCTGTGAGTTAAAATGGCACCATCCATTGTTCTCACCATGTGCCTCTGATACATGAAATGGTGGCCACCCAGTAACTCCACAGTATGTCCCCAGATGGTTCTTAAAGGGCCAGCAGCAGCACAACACAAATCCACTATGCCCAAATCATGTCTTTAAAGGGCAATACATCCCAGGGGCCATAGTCACATGGCAGGAGGCTGGCAATCAGTCTTCTCCAATGGCCAGTGGCGAGGTCGGTTTCGCCACAGCCCGCTCTCGCCCATACTCTTTGCGCTGACGTTAGAACCCTTCCTCAACACGATCCGACACAATGTAGACATACAAGGACTAACAATCGGAAACACACACCATAAAATTTGGCATACGCAGACGACCTCCTGTTCATAGTTACGAGCCCGGTGACCTCCCTACAGGCCATACAGACGGAATTCGAGCTATACGGCCAACTCCCGAACCTTCAAATCAACCACTTGAATTCAGAGATCCTGAACCTGACCATCAATCACACACTCAGACAAACGATCCAGAGTCAACACCCATACCACTGGGTGGTAAAACCCAGCAGATCTATACGCACACAACTACCTCCCGATACTGAAAACAGCAACAGAAGAACTGCACAAATGGAACTCATACTATATCTTGTGGTGGTTAAGATGACGCTTCTACCCAAACTGCTATTTATATTGCAAACAGTACCGATACTTGCCCCGCAAACGTTCGACACTAAAGACAGAAGTCCACAGATTTATTTGGAAGGGCAAATCCCGATGCGTAGCATACTCCCAATTGATACTACCGAAACTCCGAGGGAGCTTGGCGCTACCAGATTTTGAGAAATATTACCACGAGAATCATCAGCTGGTCAGTGTCTAGCGGCACCAAACCGTGGACCCAATTGAAATCGGATATGACCAACTGCGACCTCCGAACCCTACCATGGATCCCCAAAGCAGCGTACAGACACAAACACATCACCAACCCCTTCGTGACAGCAACAATGCAAGTCTGGCACAGGCAGGGCACGAAACAATACCTGACGACAGACACGAGCCCACTCCTCCGCTATACATGAAATAACAGCCGAACTACTGTCGAGGACCCCGGCCGCCTTCCTCCTACACCGAACCACCATGACAACATAGGCATACACCAGATCCATTATCCCCAGACTGCTTAACACAGCCAAGGCGACCATCCCCATATACTGGAAGCAGACCACCACACCCCCGTTGAGATGCTGGGTGGAGAAGGTGGAAGCTATACGGAAATTAGAGGATATGAAAGCAAATACCCCGACACAAAGGGACCGCTACATAAAATGTTGGTTCCACTGGATACACCATACCACCTCAGAATCCTTTCAACACCACCACATAACACAGTAACCGCAGAAAGAGAGGGAGAAAGGGAACAGACCCAAGTGGGTGTTCGGAAGGCCCCGGGCTGAGGCGGCAACGGGAGACAAGACATCCAACCTTCATCCCCTACCCCCCCCCCGGCCCCCTACCCACAACACTCTCAAACAGATGACTACAGACACCAGAAAAGACCAAGCTACCATAAGGAGTGAAGACAATTAAATATCACACGAACACTGCTACTCACTAAGGTGATCCCCACTAAGACATAGACAACCTAACACATCGAACAACCTACATGAACACGTCCGAAACAAGCTACAACGACCCAACCTACTTAAAAACAGACGCACACACAAACACACCCATCCAACACACAGGCCAAATATAAAGCCGATGTAGTAGAAGGGACCAACACGACGGGAAGCACACCAATGACCCAAGGACACGATACTAATAGAAACACGAGACACTGCTCTACCCGCCAGATTCCAGCAAACCCCGCAAAATCCACAGCAGTAAGCAAGACGAGAAGCCAAGATGAGCAGGGTTACCGCTGGGGCTGACAGAAAAGGCACCATAGAGGAGATAATACCCCGGACACCCGACACGCCACACATTACACTCCCACATAAAGACCTACTACACAAAGCCATAAGTAAAACCCAAACGCAACATCAACGATCCCAACAGACGTGACAAATAGTCGAAAACTCTAGCACACGCGAAGCACACAGGGACTAATTAGACGCAACAAGCTCACGACAAGGTTCAAAACCTGTATGTCTACCACAACATTTACATAAAATAAACGCATACATCCAGACATGCACAAACCGCAATGTATGCCAGATAATTATGATGCATAAAGTATGCCAAACCCGCCTCTGCGCAGGCAACCAATGGCTTATAACAATGTACCGAGAACCATGCCTCCGTGCAGGCAAATACACACTACATCAAAAAAAAAAAAAAAAAAATGTTTGTTAACCAAGCTTATGACATGACTACAATAAAAGTATTTAAAACAAATGTAGAACCACTATAAGTGGTAATTAGAGAATATAGAAAGGCCTGAAAGACCTATAGCGCATCGCAGATATGTCTCTGGCAATGGATTCAGTCCTCTATCCACCCTCCTGTGCTGGATTCGGATCCTAATAGGTATTAAAGGGGCTGCAACACATGGCGGCGGGCACCTGGTTGCAGGGCTGCGACCCCGCGACCGCGGTATGCTACACACACCCAAAGGACCACTACAGACACCCAGATCACATCAGCTCAATGAAGTGGTCTGGGTGCCAGGTCCCTCTAGTTTTAACCCTGCAGCTGAAAACATAGCTGTTTCAGAGAAACGGCTATGTTTCACTGAGGGTTAATCCAGCCTCTGGTGGCTGTCTCATTGACAGCCGCTAGAGAAGATTCCGCGATTCTCACTGTGAAAAATCACAGTGAGAAGACACTGAACGTCCATAGGAAAGCATTGAGTATTGCTTTCCTATGGGCGGTTTAAATGCGCGCGCCTCTTGCCGCGCATGTGCATTCGGAGCTGAGAGGCGGAGGGATCCCCAGTGCCAAGGAAGTCCGGCGCTGGAGAAAGGTAAAAGCTGAAGACACACTCTCACGAACAGACGCATACACACTAGCTAACAGACACACACATTTACTGACAGAGAGACACGCAGCGACAGACATACATACACACTCACAAAACACACTTTCACTGACAAACACACACTAACAGACATCAGACACACTCAATAACAGACACACCCAATAACAGAAACACTAACACCCACACTAACACATACACACTAACCCTATTTTTTTTTTTTTTTTTTAAATTGAATCCCCCCAGCCTCCTTACCTTTTGGAGTGCTGGGGGGATTCCCTGGGGTCCAGTGATGGTGCAGCTGGGCTCCTGGTTGGGCGAGCAGGCTGTCTGGGTGGCCGACGCGCGAGGGAGCACTTTCCCCTGAGTGCTTCCTCTTCCGCTCCCTCGCGTAGG